CCCCAACCCCGCCCCTCTCCGGCCCCCTGACCAACACTCCAGAACTTCGTATCTTCTTCAACAAACAGCCTCTATAGCCTGTCTGCACATCACCTTTTGAAACTCGATTTTAGTTACAGTTTTAACATTATTTCGCACAACGAAAATTAATTTCGCTTGCTTCTGGAGTGGCTCTGCTTCATTTCATACGAAAATAATTCTGATTCTTTCTGAATCATCAGTGATAATACGTTCAATTTCGTCAAAAAAATCTAACCCGTGACGAAGATTCCATGAGTTTCTCTGGCGAAATACAGTGATTTCAACTCGTGTGTATCGTAAATACCCACACTTCCACTCAATGTTCCAATAGCAAAGAAATTTCCGCACGAACTAACAGCTAATGTTGAAATTGCCTGCAACAACGACGTAATTAAAATAATAGAAAGGTATGAAATAAGCAGAAGGGTCAAAAAGGAAGGTGGGAAATGAGAATTAAAAAATTTGTAAAATTATTATAATGGTAAAAAATGCTTGGCGAAATTTAGAGAAATAATGCACTTAGAACACCAGCACATATTAATATAATAAACTCATCCAGGTCCAAGAAGTCCAACTTTTTGGATGAGGCAGTACATGGGCGACAATGCGGATTAACAACAAGTTATGCAGTCCTGGACGAAAAAAAGTTCGCGCAGCTGCACCTGGTGTGCATGGGTATCTAGAAGCATCATTAATTGTAGGACTATTGTTGCAAAAGGAAGAAGGTGTTAGCAGCAAGGGAACGTGCTGCCGGCTAAACTCCTTCGTCTTGCCCAGTTGCCTTTCGATTCCATGTGATATGCAAATGTTCCGTCTCCTGACTCGAGTTCCCCCTTTCCGTGATATGCAATGATGTGATCAGAAATGAAATGGTGATGCTTCTGCACGTCAAATTATTGTGCGATGGCAATTTGGAGCTGTTGCCGCCCTTCTCCCTTATCTCGTTCTCCATATTGTACGGTGATAGCTTGGAGCTGCTGTTGGATCGCTTCAGATTGTTGGTTGATTTGTTGTGTGAGTTTTTTTGTTTTTTAGTAAAACACTGCTTATCGGTTTAGGTTTTCCCCCTCCCTCCTTCCATAGCTCACCCCCTCTAGCCGCGGAAGCCCTCCCCCGCGTTACACCATCGAAAATGCATTGATATTAGTATATAACAACAATACTAACTTCGTTACATGCTTGTCGAACAAGTATTGGCCGACAAATGCCACGTTCTCGATTGTATGCCCACAGAGCAATATGTGATACAGATTTAGGTGTACGACGAATTTGATTATAAGTTGCCAAAAATATTGTATTTGTTGATCCAAGCACTGTAAAACGTACCGATCGAACCTAAAATACTGCATTTTCAGAAACTACAATGAACTTTAATAGTTCGAAACTTCGTCAACTGCTATCCCATCAACGTTTTCGTCCATCAAGACATTCAACAGGATTCCTCCATCTTACTGGTCTGAATTTAAATTTGAGGAGCTGCACGTGGGCAGAGAACAGTTCCCCAAAATTTAACTTCTAGATTCCGCAATTCCTGAGATAATTTACCCGTCAAAAGTCTTACTGGACCGTGCCTGTTACTTGCGTGCACGGGAGGCTGAATTTAAATTGGCGGGGTCACAGCACAAAACGCATAAAAACGAATTTCACAAACACTAGCACAAAGATCATCAGAAGACAAAGCACAGATGCATAGGCGGAAAAATGGAAAACCATGAATTAACAGCGCTATTTTAAGTAATTCGGGTAACTTTACCCGGAAATTCGATGGTGCTCTTTAATAAGCTACAAAAATATTGCTGAAATTCCCGATTTGTCGTGAAGTTGGAGGGTATTTGTTGGGAAAACTAACACGAAATCCATCGCCAATTTCGTTTGGAATATTCAGGCTGAGAAGCTGTTTCCCGCTGGATGTATCCCAAATATAAGCGGCTGCATCGTGGCCTACACTGATGCATAACTTCCCATCCGGAGAAATATCCAAATCATCAATATCACCGTTATGTGCATCGATTGTCAACACCGGAGAATCTTTCACAGTGGCACCCTAAAAATAGCCCCCAGATTTGCTACTTTTATACCTTTA